ATTTGAGCTCAAATAAACCAGCTGCTGAAAATTTCTTAACTCATTTATAGCTTAGTTAGAAAGTCACTAAGTTTTAGGACATTCTATTTTTTGTGCATGACAACACTTTGTATTCTAAATTACATAGTGCACTAAAAAAAAAAAAGATCACAGATAACTAAAACATAGGTTACTGTGAGATGGGAAGGGAATTTTCTTACAAGCACAAATGCTTGAAAAAGATTCCAGACATAAGAACTATATTTCTTGTTTTATTATCTATAATTATAAAGAGCCTCTGTGTGTGTGTGTGTGTGTGTGTGTGTGTGTGTGCGTGTGGTGTGTGTGTGTGTAAGAGAAAGAGAGAGACTGTGTTACAATGTGCTTTCCAGGAAGAAAAAGGGCAATTTAGATTTGTTTCATGTTTTTCATCTTTTCATTTCATTCTACATGACACATCAGTGGAGGAGAAGAGAGGCGAGCAGCCAACGAAGATAAAGAAGACTGCAAGCATGCCATATAAATTCAGGCTTCTAAAGTTTCCGGGACTCTGGCAAACAAGTAAGGCCGAAGAAAGGGCAACTCCCACAAATCACGAAGAGCAATGGATGGCAAACAAATACCCTCCAACAAGGCATCTCTACTCAATAAGTCCCAGCAACAGACCAACCATGACACCAAGGCAAGGCCTGAAGAGGACAAACGAGCCATAGTGGTAACCAGTAAGGGTCCAACAATGGATCCAACTGTTGAGTGTCCAAATATACTTCATCCTGACGATAAGCCAGGGCATGTTGTTCCGATAAACAAGGAGGGCAAGGCATAGTGATACCCTCTTGTACCCTTGCAATCCTCCCTAGATGCATAGCAATATCAGGGGAAGGAGGAAGAACTAAGTAATCCCCCGAGATCTATCTGATGACAATGCAGAGGTAGATCCAAAAGCAACAGGGTTAATTCCCAAAACTTCAAACTCCTGTAACTAAGTGCATCAAAGGAGCAGAAGGTGGCTGATCAGATGATCAGTAGAGGCAGCCCTACTGAAATAAGGAGCAGGAAACAGTGTGTCTAAATTCTCCCCAGTATATTCAGGTTCATGATGAAAAGCCAACTCTGAACCCTATGGGGAGACACCCTTGGGACACATGAAGGACTTGCCGCAAATCAGGTCACGGACAGCCTCCATTGAGAGTGGAGAAGAAAACCAATGAAATATCAGGAATGGGAAAAACGAAAAAGAACAAGACACTACTTTCAAAATTTTACAAATGAAAATGTGAACCATAAAATATGACAATTAGTGCTTACACTTTGTGATTATATTGTATGTAAACAGTGCTCATATACAGTACCTGCATAGAGGGCCGGTGTAAAGTTCTGCAAATTAGATATTGCCGACTGCAGTTGAGTGGGGAATAAAAGACTGGAGCAAGCAAAAACAATGTTTTAATGGCAAAGAATTACGGAAGATGGAGATAGAGAAATAGCTCTAAGTGGCAGCGGAGGTATGTATGTTTTGGAAACCAGTTATTTTACAATCACATAATTGATTAATTTCACCAAATTTTACTACTTCTTAACTTTTACATTTGGTATTCAGTTGTAGATCTTCTCAAAAATTTTGCAGTTTTTAACCCTTTCACTGTGGCTGGGACGTATATTTCCCAGATTCGGTGAATGGGTTAAGACAGCCAAAAGCTTGGATGGCAGGTGCAGAAAAACATTAAATACAGACATGCAAGTGTATTAGAAAAATGATTCAAGCATGAAACATATATTAAAAAAAAAGCATCAGAACAACAAAGTCAAACAAATCTACCAAACTGCCAGCAAGTACAGACTTCCATTCTCAATATGGAACCATCCCACCTATGCAAGTACTTGAAAGTATCAGTTCTTTCTATTCTTATAAACAGGTCTAGAATTTGGAAAGTAATATCTGAAAACTAATTCAAATTAGATAAACTCACCTCAGCCAATATCTTTAATAAAGGCCTAGCTAAAGCAGAATCAACAGAAGAATCATAAAAACTAGTTGCTTTCCCAATATTTCCTACACGACCTGTGCGCCCAATTCGGTGAACATATTCATCAATTTCTTGAGGCAAATCATAGTTTACAACATGTCTCACATCCTTGATGTCCAATCCTCGGGCAGCAACTGCAGTAGCAACCAGTATTGGCATTCGGCCAGTTCTAAAATCAGTCAAAGCTTCCTCTCTTTCTCTCTGTAGTCGGTCACTAGAAATAAATAGAATTTCAAGGCTTATCGTGACATATAACCCAAGTTGAATATATTAAACAACAAACACATGACACCATTATGAAACATGACCAATTTGTGTAACATTACAAGGGAAAACAAACCTATTTTGAAACATGACTGACTTGTGTAACACTGCTAGGAAAAAACAAGAGAATCCTCAATAGCTGTGGCACTTGAAATTGTTAGAATAAATTAAACTACAGACCTTTTTTCCTTTTTATTAGCTATATTTTTGTGCACCAGTAATACCAAGTGGGAAGCATGCATATTCCCAATTAGATTTTATTCCTCATCAGGACCTCTACCAGCATACCCTCAAATTAAAATTCTTTTTGGGAGGAGTACAGTAAATTAAGCTACAAGACATTGAGCATGGTCAAATACATCAATCAAAAAGGGTTTGACCTCCCGAGTCCAAAACCGTAAATAGATTTCAAAATCGGTCAAGAGATGATGGAGCTATGAGCTAAAAGTTTGTACTTGGAAAAAAAAAAACTCAGCTATTCTATGAGCCACTATAACTGTGGCTAAAAACTATTTTAAAGCGTGACCGACTTGTGTAACGTTGTTTCTGAAACATGACTTACCCATGTATGCTGGTTGTAGGAAACCCATTCTGAGACATGTATGATGCTATGAAATCAGCAGTCCTCTTCTGCCCAACAAACACTAGTGTACGATCAGTTCCTGAAATGTCCATACAAAAATTATCATTAGTGAAAACTAAAAATAATTGTTTTGCTTCACTTTTATAAGAAGGCTGTTTATCATCACGTACATATCATAATTTATCACAAAATATACTAAAGACCAGACTGTAATTTTTGAAGTAATGCAAATGTTAATGTATTCTTTAAACAACTGCTTTATAAGTTGAAAATTAAGGTAATTCTAAGTTGTTGTTTTTATATATATATATTTTTTTTCTTTGTGAATAAAATTGATAAGTTTAGTCAAAACCTTTAAAAAATTATTACAAAAGATAACCCACACTTTATACTTACAACTGAGGTAGAGATTACCACTAGAATCACTTGTTTTATGTAAATGAACAGCTTCATTTAAAGTTGTTTTTTTTTAAACCTGTGTATTCCAAACATGCAATCGAGGGATAAGAAACTTTCCCAAATACCTGAATCATTTAATATTTCCATGAGTTTCTGCCTCTTGTCATATTGCTGGACTTGGTAGAAGTTTTGCTCCACATCCATATTAGCAGAGCCAACAACACCAACTGCTAAAAATAAATAATCTGGCTTAAGAAAGTCTGCTGCTAGTCGCTGTATTTCTTCAGGGAATGTGGCACTAAACATGAGAGTCTGTCGTCCCGACTTCACAGTCATAGAAGGATCATCCACCATTTTTTTCACAGCAGGTATAAAACCCATGTCTAACATTCTGTCAGCTTCATCTAAGATTAGATAGCGGACTTGGGAAAAAGCCACCTGTTGAAAGGATAGAATAACTATTAACTGATGGACTCAGCCTGGTATCTTAATTTATTTTTTGGGGGAGGGGTCGCAACTCTATAGACTTTGCATTCAGTTGAGGTTTATTTTTAGCTCAAATAGATTGAAAACAGTGAACTTTTGAAGTTGATGATGTAAAAAACCGTAAAGTTAAAGTAGCTGCATGTTTTAGTTAATAATTCTAAATTTTCTGAAGCTTACAAAATTGTAAATATATTGTCTGAAACATAGGATTATCTTCTTTCTCAAAATATATTTGCCATAGACCTCTCTTCCTTCCTTGTATAACTGCATTAGATTGTAAAGTTGTAAAAACTCATAGTATGTTTTGAGGCACTTGATAGCTATGTGCGACTTTTATAAGACAGTAATGGTTTTATATTATTTATAAGCCACAGGAATGTAATTAATTAACTTACATAGTTTCCCTGAATATCTATATATTTTAATAAAGACTGCTTTGGTAATTTATTTTCTATTTATCTACAAGAACAAGTTTTTTTATGACTCAAGGTCATCAAGGATATCAACTCTAAGATCACGTTACGTTTTTTTGGACATATATAAACTAGTGTAAGGACAGCATGTACGTTTTCTGCATAAAAGAGAATAGGATAAATACTATCTACTTGTATTAGTTTTAATGTTTAAATTTTGTATTGCTTCATCTCTATCAACAAAGTGACATCATTCCTTTATAAGAAAACTAGCTACCAGGTGAATAGTTAAGTAGGTCAAGCATAACAGCATAGTAAATAGTTATGTAGTAGTTTTTTTTATAGTATTATTAATAGTAAACTGACCAAAAAATCAAGTTTATACTATAAATTCTCTCAAGTCCTATGCAAATGTGTTTCAGATCTGGTGACTAGTTATCAATTTTTATTAATGTAAGGCCAAAGATTGTGTCATACCTCATCACCAAATATTAAAAGGTTAATAATGATACAATGTCCACACACCATAGGGATAATTATATATAAATTATTATACATGTTAATCTTTAAAGTAACCAAAAATAAGTTACTATAACAAATACATAAAGATCAAAAATAAATTTTTAATAATCACTTCCATTTTTATGGATCATATCCATAATACATTAAACATTTCTCAGTGACAAGAATATTAAATATCTTCGAAACATACTGATGTTCAATAATAAGTTGTTTTTTTTAAATTACAAACAGAACATGTTTTAGAAACTATCATTCAAGATGATTAAGCTCACCTTTCCACGTTCAACAAAATCCAACAACCTGCCAGGTGTAGCAACAAGGATATGACATCCTCTTGATAATCTTTGAAGCTGGTAGCCACCCGATGTTCCCCCATACACCAACTCTGTCTTTATTATGCTGTCATGTGCAAATTTTCTTGCTTCATTAAAAATCTGTATCGCTAATTCACGTGTTGGTGAAATCACAATCGCTAACGGCTCTTGCACAGTCTTAAAAGAAGGGTTTGGAAGTTCTGACGAATCAAGCATCTCTTGAATCATTGGTAAGAGGAAGGCAGCCTATATAAAAGTATGTTTATACAATACCAATGAAAAGAAAAGGGTTACATAGAAATAAAAAGATCAAATATCTCCCCACATTTAATTCCTGTTTCATAGATGCTGTCATTTTTTGAATGATAATATTTGACAAGTACTATTATTCTTGTTAATGATTTGGTTAGAAAAATTTTAAAATGGTATTAATCTGTCATTTTGTTATGTTATAGATTATATTATGACTACAATTTCGCTATTTTAGAGAAGCACTAACAGCTTTCTAAATATCTAAAAGTGCTTATCTAGTTTCTTTCCTTTTTGATCTTTTTTTTTTCAAGTTCATTAGGCAAAACCCAATTAGAATTTTACTATGTTCAATGGAAGACAAATCAGATCAGAGTACCCCCCACCACCACTTATGTTACTTCCCCTGGGTGGCCCATAAGGTTACATGGTAGGTTTGAGGACAATTAGTCCAGTAGTTTTGCAGTTATAAACAGATACAAACAGACACAGACATTGAAACATGAACATTGTAAAAACATCACCTACACACACACACACAAGTCTAAATGGTCTTTCTCCAATAAAATTTAAAAAAAACAACAACTAGATAAGGTCTTTGAACATTATTTTACTTTGTTTAAACCATAAAGAGAAATTCACAAAATCAATAGATCAACACCATGATTAATACCACAGTCCATAAATGCAAGTTTTTAAACAATAACTGTGTACTTGTAGAAATTTGACAGAGATGTGCCAATTAGTTAGCAACTAATCAATACATAACTGGTCCTAACTACAATGGTAATGGAGAATAAAAAAACAACAACAAAAAACGAAAGGCACCAATTAATCATTAACTGCACAAATTTCTTATCAGCACATCTCCAGTACTTTAAAAGCTTATAAGAACAAACTGTTAAATAAAAAAAAGTAAATAAATACAAACTTTCATTTTTATAGTAATTTAGGAATATTTACCAAATATTGAATATTTCTATCAAAGTTTCTATGAGCATATATTATTACTGAATGTCATATTTCAATTTCAATAATGTCAAGTAAGACAGAATAGCTTTGGACTGCCTGCTATACAGAGCAAAAGGTAGTTAACATCTGTTTTCTGATTTACATACCGTCTTTCCAGAACCCGTCTGAGCACAAGCCATCAAGTCCCGTTTTGCTTTAATGATGGGAATAGCATATTTCTGCACCGGTGTTGGCTTATCATATTTACATCTCCTTAAGTTTTTTGTGACAGTTTCTCGAAAACCCATATCTTTAAAGCTGTTGATCGGGCTAGGAGCGTTACTACCACTCAGTTTCACAGGAATCTCTTCGTACCTAGCAAAATTAATTCCCTGTGGTACACCTTCAAATAACTCATTCTCATCTTCTGTGGGCTCAGGTGGAACATAAGGTGCTTCTCTTGGTTTTCCTATAAGTTGATATGTTATAGTTTGTTTTCTAGTCTAAAGAATGCTTTCCAAATTTCACACATTTCCCCACAATGGCATACACAAACACTTCTATATGTATAGTGAAAACAAAATCCAATCATAATAACTATATATATAACAAATTAAGCTGTATACCTCAAACTTTCAACAAATATGCCACAATGCATTAGAAAAAATTCATTTACAGACTTGTATATATACACACACACACACACATGTAGTGATCTCCATGCTGATGTACACTTTAGTTGATCAAAATCAAAAGTATAGCTAGGGTTGAATTATGAGCTGCAACTGAAGCCAACAGTAACATTAGCATGTACTAACATGGAAAATAAGGTTAAAAAACCTCACAACAGTCCAGTGATCATGTGCTCAAAAAATGTGAGTTAGAAAGCAGACAGCAATTAAGGAAAGTTTAGTTTTTCTATTGTGTTTTCAGAAAAACAAAATTGCCTTATATTTTGGCTAATATGGTATTTTTAGTACGATTTACATTTTATAAATTGTACCATGCATACACACAAGCTAAGACACAACAGTTTTGGAAAAATAACTAGGATGAACATGGTTGATAGTTTCCAGTGTTCATTTCGACTGAAATATATCTATTGGCTGGGGGTTTGAAGCTGTGGAGTTGTATGTTTTCAAATGCATTCTGAGTCATTTTGGATAACTTTCAGTATCAAATTTTAACTTTGTAGGAAAAAGGAAATTCAGAAATCACTTTCAGCTTGTCATGTTACCAGATGAATCAACCTAATAATCATGCAAGAGTAGTTAAATATTTCAAACGATAATACTCAAACCATTTACATGTATGCCCAATTAGTTTTTAAAAAACTCAGTTTCATATATTACCAAATTAACCAGTTATAAACCTTTTCTTGTAAAAATGAAAATACATTTATTTCACATTAAATTCAAATCAAGTTTTGTAATCATGTCTGGCAATGGTAATTGTAATGGATATATTTTAATATTGGGTTGGTAGCACGTTTACAATGCATATGCTGCTATCCAATCAACACCTTTGTTTTTAATTTTTGAGAAGCATAACCTAATACTGAAGTCTTAGCCCACATGTAGCACATGTAAAGACAAATAAATACAAAAATTATTCCAGCATTACTGTGTTTTAAGCTATACTTTTGTGTGTATACTACAGTTTTAGTTTTAAATAGTTCATCTTCATTATCCCAATCAGAATCTAATGCTGTACAATATTTTACCAAATGTAAAGTTTAAGTCATAATAACTTAGGAAAAAGTACAAGCATCTACGATACAAAAATTATACCTATAAGTAATGGCTAAAAATATTTACTATGAAAGTTGTTTCACCTGGAATGGAACAATTGTAGTAAGTGTAAATATCAAATTAAGGCTGCATATGGGCATGTATTGATTTATTTTAGATCTAGGCTTAAATCTAGTATTTGGATTGCAAAAAATCAGTGAAAAAAATATATATATACAAACAGGAAAACACAGTTTCACTGTAACAATGATACTAAACATAAAACATTATATAGCTCAGATCTACAATATTGCTAAGACTTGCATCCATTACAGGCATTAGGATACATGGAATGTTTTATTGCTAATAACATTAAGCTGTGCCTCGATAAAATATAAGGAGAGTTATAATATTGAACTTAAAATATATGCCATGTATTTTCAGACCTGGTCAGGCTGTGACAATTTAGAAACAACCCAAATAATATAATCAAAAGAAACCTTACATTAGCAGTGGTTGTTGGCCACAAAATCATAAACTTAACAGAACAAAAATACAAAATTTTGGCTTAAGTTTAAAACACACTTACTCCCCCTTTACACTAGCAGGAAACCAGGAGTGCTGGATTGTTTAATTTACCACACATTTAAATTTTAAACAAAAACACAGGTTAAACATTTTTATATGAACTTTATAAAACAGAGAAAGTGCTATTACTTATTTTTAAACACAACTTTTTATAAAATGCCACATACATGTCTATAAGTAAATGGATAAAAACAGTGGAGTAATATGAAAATATAGTGCTATTACTTATTTTTAAACACAACTTTTTATAAAATGCCACATACACGTCTATAAGTAAATGGATAAAAACAGTGGAGTAATATGAAAATATAGTGCTAATTAATGCTCATTGGATTGTGAAAATGACCCATTTTTGATGAGAAATAAAAGGCTTTAAGTGCATGATCACAAATTTTATTCTGGCATTAATTGTCGACATGGCATTCTGTAAACTAGATCAACAAAAGACTAACTGGTTGAATCTGGTATTCTGAATAAGTGATACTGGTTGCACACAAGTTATGATTATCTCAACAGATAACCATGTTACGTTATCAGCCCAAGTTTATTGTTTGTCTGGGTCCCACATTCTTCATGCTAGGTGTAGTACCAGTAATAGAAGCAGCCATCATATGTACATGCTTTATTTTAATACTGTCAGATATTTTTCATGCAAATTGGGTGCATCCTCTTAAATCTGTACATGCCCAATGTGAGTTTTAGGAGCATTTGACACTGGACATGCAATAACTTTCCATGCTGCACAGTGTGTATTTGAAAAATAAACTTGTTTATTACTAATACCTTATCTTTCTAACAGACACTGAAACCAATTTGTGAAAAGTTACTTTTTAAGATATCTAACTTAAGTACCTTGTATTTGCAATATGTTTGTCCTTACATCTTTTAAATATTAGGATATGTTGCAAAGATAGTTTTTATTACAGAATTAGCATTTGGCTAATCTTAGTAAGCCATGTATATTAACCAATGCAGTTACAACTTGCCTAGTACAGCCAATCACATAGTTATTTACCAAGTGATTTATAATACTTGTACTTCAGTATCGCTAGAAAAACAACCTTCAGTTATGCTGAAGAAATAAAGATGTCTCATGAAATGTGAAGCATGGAGTTTAAGGTGAAGAGAGACAATGATGAACTATCATTTGCATGAAGTGCCACTGATAATAAACCATACACCTGATGATTATCCACCAGATGGCAATGAAACTGACAGAAGAGATCCAAGTTGAAACACCTTTACCACAATCTACTCCGCTTATACCTTTAATTAAACCACACTATATGATGTGTGGGTCAGAAGTAAAAGTCTTAATAATCTATCTCTGCCATGCTTCGAGTAAGGTACATTCAGCAAGGCAGTCAGTAGCCCCACAGTCTTAGGTATGCTGCCCCCAATTTTGATCTAATTAGTGGAAGGAAGCACCTGCTGTCACAAGAATTTCTGAGCCACACAAGACTTTCTCGGGTTCAATCCAATAAAATACAAAATATATTTATTTTGATTTTTAAAATATGGGACACTATTATTCATCTTGCTAAGCCTGGAGCATGACAAAATTTAATTACTTTGTTGCACTTAACCATCTAAGAGGTAATCCAAGTAATTATTTACTCTCTTTTCTTTAACTATTTAAATCTTAAAGATAATGCAATACAGTTAATTAATAGCTCAAGCTTTTGGCATGTCTTAATATTAAATAGTGTACAATTAGTTGAAACATGGATACATGACACTACAACAGTACTTGATACCTTCATACAAATATTTCCATTTAATTTCCACCAATCTTAAATTTAATGTAGTAGAACCAAACTGAAAAACTGAATATACATTCTTTTAAAATGAGAAGGTAACACCAACCCAACCAAGGTTTGTAACTAAGGTGAATGAAATTCTAGATAAAGACAACGTTTTCATTGGTTTCTAGGCATTTAACTACTGTAATTCATATCACATTCAGATCTTAAATAATTGTTTTTTCAGCTTAGTTTAAAAACAATACTCTGTTTCAAGTTTTTTACAGCTAGTTTCTGCATTACATATTAAGTTAATTGCTGAAGATAGAGTAAGTTTTATTAAGTTAACATTTTCCTAAACTGAAAATGTATTTCCAATGATACTTACCTCTGCTGACACTATAGCTATTTCTCAATCTCCATGGTTTCCACTCTTTGCCCATCTAAGCACTGAAAACACTTGCTCCAGTCTTTTTATACTCCACTTGAATGCTCTTGTTTAAATTCTAATTTGCAAAATTCTCCACAAACTTCAATGCACCCTCTATCTAGGTACTGTATATAATCACCTCATTCGGATAATGGAATCACTTTTTCGAGACATAAACCAGTTTTTAGTGGGGAGAGTGTCAGCGGAGGTAAGAATTATTGGTAATACATTTTCAGTTTAGGAAAATGTTAACTTCCAAAACATATTTACCTCTGCTGATACTATAGCTAGAATCCTACATTGAGAAGATGGAGGGGCCAGTGTAGGCATGAACCATACAGAAACATCTGTATAGAACAGAAGTGTACCAAGATAAAGATGGTACAAGAATGAAGGAACCACACTACATCCAGAATAGATATGCTCTTCACCAGGAACTCAGTTCGTATATCAAAGGAGGAATAGAATACGAGTAATAGTCAGTATAGGCCAGCCCCAACCAGATAGCCGAGGTTCCACAATTCAGGGTTGAAATTAAGGGGCTGTGGTCCCTATATCCCACATTGGTGGCTATAGCTATTGGACAGCAATGTTATATAAACTTTTAACTGGATCCCAACCTGTAGCCATAGAGTGATCCATTTCACACCACTGGAATCACGACGAGAAGGTAAGCAACACCGAAGTGGACAAACTTTCTCTTCCACCTGAAGAAGTCCAAAAGGCAACACCCCAGGCTCAGAATGACTGGATCATGTACATTATACTCAACCAAAGAAACAGAACATATTCGATCTGGAATCATGAACATTCATCCTCACTCTCCAACCAAGTGGGCAAGGAGTATTCCACTTGTCCCTGGAATTACGGAGAGGATGTGGAACCTGTGCTCAATCAAGGGCCTAGAATGGGACCACATCGCGTTTGGAATTATGAGGAGATAGAGGACCTCCTTCCATGAACAATATACAAAACCGACACTGATCAAAGAGAAGGGCCATGCACCCTCCAACCATATAGCTTTGTGTCAAAGCTGAACTGGAGTTATGAGTAGGCTCCTGTGGAGGCTGGTGCCACTCCTACTGACATCTGGGAAAAACATCCAGGGACCGGAGTAGGAGGGGCCCCCAATTTTGCCTTATTCTCCAAGAGTGGAGGAACACACTCAAACACTCTGGAGGAAAATCCTCTGTCTGCCACCCCAACAACTGGAAACTGAAGTAGTAAGGACTCCCAAGCTCCACCAGTAGAGTCTGGGGGGAGGGGTAATATGCGTTGGGGAGCCCTGAGTAACAGTGCTCTGGAAACTGTGCACTAGGTGAACCAAGTTCCCTACATTTTTAAAAGCAAACTAACCCCAGTTTATTCAATCTGAAGATTGGTAGGGATGGGCAGGATCCCCTTTAGCTTTTCTCATGATAATCCATGAGTGGTAGTCCAAGATAAAAAGGTAATATCATCCAGTAGGCACCTAGACTGTCTTATGAAACACCCCATTTCAACAGAGCCTGTTGCAACCTGTAGTAATAATAGCAAAACAGGTTGCTAGTGTGGAATTGAAAAGAGAAAGCATATATGCCAGGGCAACACTTGCTGCAGAGTGTAATCCAGTGAAAAATAAAATGGACCCTGAAAATAAACAAGTACATGACTGAGGAAATACTCACCCCTGGTTAAAATCTAACAGATATGGTCAAAATAACTACAGGTGGTAGTTGGAAATCCTCAGAAATGGAAACTGCCAGATCATGTAAGTAATGAGATAGGAAAGTATTAGGAGTAGTCCACATACCAGCATGCACAATGTCTTCCAGAGGACAATTGAACTGGGCAGCTAATAACACTGAGATACGACAAATCTGATAAGAAGTGACATACAAAAGATTCCTCTCCTGTAATGATAATCAATTATAGGCTATGTGAATCAATTTACAAAGCCACGACATTAGAGTAATGGGAGATAAGTCGCGGGAAATAGAAGTCTTCCAATAAATGAACAGTTGATTCCTACTACTTCAAAATGAGTTACTATGAGCCACATAACACTTGAGGGCCCTAACAGGACATAACAAATGATCAGGATATGAGTAGTTATAAAGGTGAGAAATGGCTGGCAAATGTATTGGTGAGAAGGATCTTTCCCCCTTCCCTAGCTTCCAGTCTTTGGAAATCGAGAAATAGCTATAGTGTCAGGAGAGGCAAGTATGTTTTGAAAGTTTTTTCTTTTATCATCTTTCTTATTATACAAATCTTACTCTGACAAGTAAACCTTCAAATTTAGACTTTATAGACTTACTAAAATACAGTGGTATGCAGTAGCATCGAAACCGTTGACATAAATTAAAACTTACCATCATATCCAACACGGTTGTCAGGATTTTTACAATCTTTTGACATGTGTCCATCTTCACCACACTTGAAACAACCAGATTTACTTTTTCTGTCACCACCAGCATTAGGACAGTCTCGTGACATGTGTCCATTTTCACCACACTTGAAACAACCAGATTTACTTTTTCTGTCACCACTGGCATTAGGACAGTCTCGTGACATGTGTCCATCTTCACCACACTTGAAACAACCAGATTTACTTTTTCTGTCACCACCAGCATTAGAACAGTCTCGTGACATGTGTCCATCTTCACCACACCTGAAACAACCAGATTTACTTTTTCTGTCACCACCGGCATTAGGACAGTCTCGTGACATGTGTCCATTTTCACCACATTTAAAACATCCTGTTAAAATAGTTAAAAACATTATGTAACTACACACGTACATCATCATCATCATTCTAACTGAAAATAAGTTAAAGCTTAACACAAATAGTCGATATTTTTAACAGAAATATAATGTTTTAAAAACCTATTTTGATAAAATTATTTCTAATAATTTTTTTTAGTGTTGTAATTTGAAAGGATTAGTTAGATTTGACTCATTCTCAAACTAAGGAATTATGTATAAGCACAAATTTCAATTCTGATAATTCAACATAAAAGAATACACAAACTAAAATCATGTTCAAAACAGCTTACGAAAACTTTTCACTACAAAAAAAGACACTGATACAAGGTGAGCCACAGTAAACCCCATAATAAAGACCCTTTTGTTCTATAATTCTGTGTAAAATGCAGCTACTCAACATCACTCACTACTCACGTCAAACCAGTGACATGTGACTGCCACTCTTATAGCAAAACACTTGTTTTTAGTGGAAACAGGATGCAAGTTGTAAAAACTCAGATTAACAGTCTTAACATTCTAAAATCTGGGACATGCCCAGCCTAATCCAATAAGGATACTAATTCTAATCTATCTGACTTTACAATTTGCAAGGACTAAGTCATACAAGTTAATAACTTTGTTAATTCAATGATATTATAAATATAACCTAACTATAAAGAAAGTTATTTTGGTTTCGGTTTCTTTAGGCAGTGAGTTAACTACTACCCATGCTTTACTCCTGCTACTGTAAACTGTGATACTGTAAATACACTTCAACCATGAAGAAAACTGTGTTATTTAAGGTTTTGATTTCTTTTAAGTGGGGAGTTCACTAATGCCAATTCTTACATCTAATATTACACTCTGATATTGAACTGGCATGCATTTAATGATTCCTGTGAACTATAAACAAGTGGCTTTTCAAAAAAGCTTTTTCTGAATCAGTACCCATCTTCAGTTTTCTCCCAGTTTATAACATAATCGTCAAGAACAGTGTGTCGTGAAAAAAACACCAATTATCTGAGCCTATACTTTAAAAATTCAAAGATATAAAAATAAAAGAACATTTGGATTAATATTTTAGAGTCCTTGGTTCAGAGAAGGAGTAAAAACTTCTTGTTCTTTACAAAACTGTTATTATAAATAAAAAGACAAAATTCAGATTGGCTATATTTCAAAGGGTTTTTTCCCTTTAACTTTACAGATAAAAGTTGAGACTTTCACAACTTGCACACATTTATAACACACTTGAGCTTTCACCTTTACCTCACAATGCTATCAAGTACCATAACTACAGCCTGTTATCTTGATACAAAAGATAATAAAAACTTTGGAACATACTACACACTATAGTACTACAGAAAAAGATCTTAAAACAAGAACACTACAACTTAATAAACCATGAAAATGTCACAGTTGTATTTATAAAAACAATATCTGATCTAACCTATCAAATATAAGGAAAAAGATAATTATCATCAGTTAAAATAGTAATCAACCACGATTACAATAAAATGTACCAATAACGGTAGCTAAGAAGCATGGGTTGCGTGCACAACTTGATTCTGATATAAAAAGATAGAATCCCATATTTCTTACATATTCAAATAGGAATAACTTACTTTGCATTATACATTAGCTGACATGATGTTCCTGTAATAGCACACTAATAGTTTTCTTACTCTTGTATTAACAGACAAGAGTAAGAAAACTATTATTGTGCTTTAGAACACACAATGTTCAAAAATAGAATTTCTTCAGAAAAATATACAATTGCTTTGCAATAAAGTTGAAATTCCAAATAACTTCAGACAATATTTAGCCTTGATGTTAATTTTATAAAATTTTCTACTTAAATGATTATGCAGATTCCTTACACTATAAATATAGAACTATTGAACGTAGAAAAATGGGAAAATAACATTTTATTCATTCTTCTGAACATTACACTCTTAACAATTACTATTCAACATTTTAAAAAGCAAGATACAGATGACTTCAAACGTCTTTTTCAGACTATTTTTTAAAGAAACATTTCCATAAACTTTATAAGTAGTGTTAATAATACAACAAAAAATTTTAAATAAAGTTCCTCCAATTTTACAGTTCTGAAGTTTACATTTTCCTTAAATGAAAATGTATTTCAGATAGATACCTTCTCACGCAGAATAGCTTGATATCTCGTGCATGTGTCTATGAGATTTGCATACTGCTAGCCTTGACCTAACTCCCACCTAAAAATCACAATTAATGTGAACTGCATTAGAGCATGATGACATCATGCAATGTTAACCTTCCACCAATAGGAGGACAACACAACCTCCTTGCACAGTAATTCCCCTTAAGCACTCAAGAACTCAAAATAACTTCATTCTTAGATGGGCAAAAAGAAAGTATATTGGAAGAGGGGGGATGGATGGGAAGGTGTCAGATGTGAGTGCATCAGAAATACATTTTCACATCAGAAAAATGTAAACTTCTGAGATGATACCTCATCTCCATATACAGAATAACTAGAATCCTACAATAAAATGATGGAGGAGCTGATGCAAACATTAAACCTAAATCAGCTCCCTTCAGAAAGTACCTGAAAGAAAAGCAAATGGAGTGCAATACCTATTAGCATAAACTCCATAGGAGCACATCTATGGGAGATTATCTCATCTTGATCAGGTTTACTCTTCTCCAAGAAGAAAACAGAAGGAAAGGCAAAAGAGCCCTATATGCCACAGAGATGGATGAAATTTGATCATGACCAAGCAACTGCACACAAGTTTTCAGGGAGCCAAGAAGTGTGGTGCAGTTAGGGTGCAATCGGACCTAATGGTGTGTGGTTCACCTTGACTCAACTGGACAGACTCTCACTACAGGAGGAGAGCAAACTAGCTGTTAAGGAGTGACCCGAACTACACAAACAGTGTCACAGTGAGGAACTCTAAAGTCCACAACCCTAGTGGCTAGGAACTAGTAAGTGGCAAGGGTCTCCTGTGCTCCACTTGAAGAAGGGGAGAAAAAATTTGCAGTGGGGGAGACCTGGAGATGTACCCAGATCCCCATCCAAAACCTGCCAGAAATGTCTTTTAATGCAATGGGTGACCATGAAACTATTTTTAAGATAACGTGTGATGAACGAGTGAGGAGTCATTCACATTCTAGCCTGAAGGATCTCATCTAAGGGCCAGCAAAAATGAGATGCAAGAGAGGGAGACAGGTGATAAATTTAATCTGAAAAAATGTGAAAAAGCCTGCAAACATCAACAACCAGGGAAGAATATATAAACTGGAAGAGATGGCAGATCCACCCAGTAAGGGTAGTAGGCAAGAAGTGTCTAGAAAAAGAGGGGTCCCAAGGTAAAAACAAACAATGGCGGGAATAACACCTAACAGCCCGAACCAGGTGCAGAGACAATCTGGGTCTGATTGAGTATAGAGGATAGAAATAGAAGGGAGGGAGATAGGAGAAAAGGTACGATCATCCTTCCTGAGCAGCAGAATCGTAGGCAGAAAAGAGTGGTCTGGGTAGAGTAAGTAAGTACAAGTAGCACTGATGGCATTTACATTAGAACAATGGAGACCACGTGTGAGAAAATGATGGAAATAAGTCTAGAAGCCAACAGCTCAAATATGGCATGTATGGGAGAGTGTAAAACCACATTCAGGTCCCAATCAGGCATGGAAAGGGTCAGAATAAAGTGGGAAGTGAGCACGTGGCAGTAATGGGAAGGGCAAAATGTAGTGAAGAAAGCCACCCAATAATCAGTTATGGTGAAGACTAACAATCTGTGTTTGAACAACCATGTGAAAAAGTCTGAAAGATGAGCCACAGTAGAACAACCTGGAGGAATGGAGTGGTGGATGGATCAATGGCAAAAGGTTTGCCACTTCTGTTGATACAGAAAATCGATGCAAAACAGGAATGGGATACAAAAAGTGCTACACAATTGGAAAGTCTAGCTCTGATGGTGATGGACCAAACAAATTTCATATGTGAAGATGAAGGATGACACCCCTGGATGAAAAAAAAATTGATGTATGAAGTTGGAGTAATAGAGGGGTGAAACAGGGCAAAGGAAAAGGGAGCCTAAACTACGGTTGTGCAGGCCAAAGAGGCACCACCAATAGGACCCAATAAAGAGTGTCGCGTATCAAAGCAAGAACATTAGAGACAAAGAAGAGGATAGGCATATAGAAAATGATGAGACCAGTTCTGGCTGAGTGCTTTGACTGTCAGAGCTGAAGGATGAGAAACTGGAGACCTGAAGAAAAAGGTTTGATGTTGAGAAGAGTGGCAAAAGTCCCTATGAGGGACAAGCCCAACTGAGAGCAAACCCAATAAAAACCCTCAGGGTGGACATACCACTCCTTGTGGAGAATCTGGTGCAGCTAAGAGAGGCAATCTGCCACAAGGACATAGCAATCTACAAAACACACAATAGGAATGAGCCAAAAACAACAGGTCTAACATGTGGAAGCAAAGAGTCTTCAAATGGGTACCCCCTAATGGTTGATGTCAAAAAATAACTGCAGAATTGTCAAAGTAGATCATGGCCAAATGATCCACGAGAAGAGGTTGGAAATGGGAAAATGACCAACAAACTGCAAGAAGCTCATGGATATTGATGTGGAGTAAATGCTCCTCTGGAACCCACATGCTTGAAGTCATACCATTGATCAGATACATGCCTCAGCCCGATAGAGGAGTATCTGAAAAGATTGAGATCCAGTTGGTGTTGGTGGGTCAGCAAAGGGATGCCCAATGTGATGCTGGCATGGTCATGCCACCAGGATAAGTCCTTGAGAACAGAAAGGAGCAGATTCACAAACAAGGGCAATGGATGCTGATAAAGGTTCCACTGATCTTATCATATCAATAAATATTAGAAGGTTGAAGATTTTTGTAAAGACAAAGCAGTATTTAGAGCAAACCCTGGTAGGGGGAACAGCCAGTCAAAATCATTATCCTGGTATTGGTCAAACTGAGAAGGAGAGTCAGCTGAACAGATGAGAAGCCCATTGTACACAAGGGAACTTACCACCCATTGAACAGTGGTTGTCATCCTTCACAGATGAACTCCCAGTCACCATGTAGACACAGGTCCTGGTCATGTGTTTGTAATATTTTCACTACCACAGGACAAAGTAGAAGTTATTGTCCCATTATAATTCATAATGTGTAAGTAGAACAGTAAAAAAAAAAACTTTTCTTTTCTACTTCAGTAATAACAAAAGTACATTAAAATTGATTGAAAATAAAGTTTCACTGACAACAGCAAATTTATGTAATTGAAGAACAAAGTAAAAAAAATTAAACTCCCATTCAGGACAATGCTAAGGAAAAGAAAATAGTTATGTTGAGTACAAGTGCTGAAGGGGAGTTACTGTGAGAGGTGGTTGTATCATCTTCTAAATTGATGATGTCATCATGCTTTAATACAGTTCCATTAACTCTTTCAACCCAAGCTCAGCCCCTCAGACTGAACTTGTAATCATTTTGTGCTTGTTAGTTTTCATGCTATAACTTTTAATTAGTAAGCAAATGTTAACAATATTTGGGAGCTTATCAGTAAACATTACAATGCTTTCACATGCAAAATATCTACTTTTTTATATCAAGTTTTAAGGTTTGTAAAGCAATGTTTCTCTCATTCCTTTTTTTTTCTTTTCAGATCTTGCCTATCTATCATACAAAGTAATTTTCATTTTAACAATAAAAATACTTTTATGCATCAGAAAATTTTGAAATTTCACATGCGAAATCTTTATAATGTCTGGATAGTTAAAAAATATTTCTTAAGAAAAAACTTTATATTTTATCTGTTTTTCATATTTATTGTTTATTTAGTTATAAAAGTAACTAAAATCTAAAAATAAAGATCTTTCCAAGTTATTTAAGACTAGATTAGGTAAACTAAGTAATAATAATAATAATATAATTAAAATGGTTCATGAGGCACACACACGAGCAGTTTGTGAATAATGTATATTGATAGTGTAATGTGAGCAGCACGTTTCCCCAAGTGATTTAACCCAAGTGAATGGCACTGATAGTAGTTAGACACTTTTCAAAGGGCAATAAAACAATAAAATTTAATTATAAATAGATGTATACTGTTACGAACTTAGAGCTACCTGGGATAAATGAATGTAGTTTCATGTTACAATTTGAAGTCATTTTAGAAAGAAAAAAAAATGGAGTAATTTAGGTTTATTTCAATTTTTTTTGGTGGTTACGAGGTCAGTCAATTTGATCCATGGCGTTTTGAGATAGGGTAAAGAAAATATTAGATAAACTATAGTTTTACTAAAAAAACGTCTTTAGTGGATTTAGTAGGTTTTAGGGATTACACAAAGGAAATTTGAGATTTTTGAGATCAAGAAAAGTATTTTGAGTTTTAACATGAAAATTGCTTTGTGCACGGACTCTTCAAAACAGATACTCAAAATATTACTGGACAAATCTTTATTATATCTTATTAAAAATAAGATTTTTTGTATGTGAAAGACTTATAATATGAACTGAAAGACTGCTAAATTTTGTAAAGATATACACACTATATTGAAAGTTAGAAGTATTAAATCTATAAAGACTTTAATCGAGTACAAAGAGGTCATGTGGTCGGTCAAATTGACCGACCCCGCGTCGAGAGAGTTAAACAAGATATTTAGATGAGAGTTAGCTCAAGGCTAGTAGCATACAAATCTCATTGTCTCAGAAGCCTGTACTGTCCATACGAAAGCAGACCGACTAGTAACCTGACTCAATGTCTTATGGAGTTTTATCTTGTCTATATAAATAAATTTAAACATTCTTTTTTGATAGTACCAAAAAAATTCCAGTGTTTCCTGCCACTCTTTCTCTACCTTGATTTCTCACTTGGAAGAATCTATTATAAAGTCTAAATCAACAGTGGAAACATTGTTTTTTTGCCTGCTGTTAATCGTTTGTTAGCTCTCTTACATTACAGCCTTTAACCATTTATCTGAGTGTGCAAGGTGTTAAATTCAACACTTCTTCTGGTTCTCTTATGTGAATCTTTTATCTAATAACTGTAACCTTTTGCTGATTTTCCCTTTGGACTGAGTATATTTCTGACAGATCCATGGGCAAATATTCTTTCATATATATTTTAAGAGTGACAGTTATTGATTCCAAAACCTATCACAGTCATTCATTCATTCATACCATGGAAAAGCTAAAATGATTTTACAACTTCCTACTGACTTACTCCTTCTATTCTTGAAAAAATGCTAATTATCAAAATATTAGGTTAACTAATTTACCTTTTCCTTCAGTCCGTCTTGATCCATCATTTTTTGGACAATCTCTACTCATGTGACCTTCTTCATTGCATTTGTAGCAAGCTGCAAGCATTCCCAACATTAAAAAAGTTTATCATAAAATGTACATGGTATATTTTACTTATATATTTTAACTGTATGTTAGTTAGTTTTATAAAATGTTTGGACCATGCAGTTGAGCAGTTATGTCTAATACATCTACTTTCTAGCATTAATAATGCATACTTGTTAGGTGGTGCAGGTGACATCAAGATTTTATGGATATATCAATTTCTTAATCAAATATTTTACCATGAAAATAAAAACTAGAAGTGCTATTACCTCTGTTTGAACGACCACCAGTGCCTCCACCTCGAGGAATTTCTCTTTCACTGTCATCTGTTGAACTATATCTGTTACCAATTCTACCACCAGATACACTGTTCTCACCATTTCTAGGCTTAAAAGTGTGATTTCCATCAGATTGTGGATTCCATTCAGCTCTGTACGACGAGGTTTGATAATCTTCATTCCAATTACTACCGCCGTGACCATTAGTATGACTGCTGCCCCAGTCTGAAGCCTCTTGACCTAGTGAGAGAAATAAGCAGGAAACTATCTCAAAAAATATTTAAATTCCTACACAGGAAGATATAATATTCTTTAATCTTTAAAGACTTGTTGTGTTGTGTGATAAATGCTTATCCATGAAAGTTCATTAAAAATGATTAAAATCTGACAACCACAATTACTATACACTTCAATAAATACATCAACAGCAGTATTAAAAAAATAAAAATAAATAAATACTACACATTATTCATCAAATCTAGCAGCATCTAAAAAAATAAATAAATCAATATGCATTATGTTTTAAAAGTAGAAACAGAATCATTAAAAAACAAAAATAATTACTAAGCATAAAGTATTGAATATAGCAGTAGCAGCATAAAAAAACATGCTCACCAACAATAGGTAGGGATTTTTTGAGAAATGCCATATTGCCAAAACCTCTCCCTCGACCAATCCTACAAAAATAATGAAATCATTTTATGTAGCAGGTTCTCGTGTGTATATTTTTAAAATGGTAAATAATTATCAAACATGAAGTTAAATAAAAACCTTAGTGCAACTAAATGGTTAAAATACTCTTTACTTTTACTGTTCGTAAGTCAACAAAAATAACTATAAGTTTCACTTTTTTTTTTCCCGTACTAAAATGTCAAACTATTTACAGTGCTATAGTAATGTTGAACACAAGTTCTTTTGACAGAA